GCCTTACGCCCTCCCCCAAGTCCGAAATTTGTAACTCAAAATTCAAAGCATCAAGAGAAAATGGCACCAAAGAGAACAAGGGGTGAGAGTATTTCATCTAGAGCACCGGTCAGCCCGGTTATGATGGAGACGAGCACTAGGGACAGTGCTTCGAGCTAAGTGAGGGGGAGTCACTGATCGGTGCGTACTTAAGTTTGATACCTTGTAAACTAGCATTATTTTCTTCGCAAAATAAAAATAAAAATAAATGCTAGTTAGGTTGAAAACCCAAAAAATGGGCAATCTAAGCAAAAAAGGCTTACAAAAAATGATGAGTGAGTGGAGAGGTGGGAAAATAAAAGAGATGCTAGGATGAAAACCTGAAAAGGCTCCTAGGCAAAATGAGAGATATGAGAGATATATATTTGTTTTTACAGGACATCATTTAATCTCTTGAAAATGAAAAGAGGAGATGAGCATAGAAGACCATGAAACCCAAGAAGATATTATTCTTTGAGCTAAACACTCAATGTAAAACCCATATGTTATCCTTGGTGGTCTTTTGCTTTTTCTGGTTGATTGTTGAACTTTTGAGGACTTGGAATTGTTAAACATTTGACTTTACTCGAGGACAAGTAAAGAAGCTAAGTGTGGGGGAGTTGATATTCATGTAATTTCCGATTGTATGTTTGTATTTTTAACTAGTTTTTATTAGTTCTAGTTGAGGAAATTACACACTTTTGGTGTAATACTTTATTTTCATATTTATTTGTAATTTGTTTAGATTAGGACTTTTCTGAGCTAAACAGGTCAAAGATCATCCAAGGGATCAAGATTGGACCTTAAAAGATCAAGGAAAGTGCAAGGAGGTAAGAAAGATTTCGATTTGGAAAAAATACTCATGTACCCGGTCGGGTATTGCCTATACCCGATCGGGTATTTGCTTGATTCAATTGTCCAAATCAAATCCGGAAACAAATGATCGTGGGAGCAAGATTTCGTTAAGATTTGTCACATACCCGATCGGGTATGCCGACATACCCGATCGGGTATGCCCAGAAAAGTGAATTTCTGGGAAATTTCCTAAGATACCCGGTCGGGTATCCTATATACCCGGTCGGGTATCAGACCCTGCATCTCCCAAAAGCCTATAAATACACCCCTTTCCTTCACAATAAAATAACCAATTAACATATACTTCTTAGCTCAGTTTAGACAAGCTCTTTCTTTATATTTTCTTCATGTTTAGTCTCCAAATGAGGAGCTAAGCTCTTCCATCTTGGTTTTGCTACTTTGAAGCTTAATGAATTTGTAAGTTGTGAGTTATCTTCTTTAATCTTCTTCCTTGAATATTAATTCTTCCTTTCAAATACTATTTCTATATCAAAGTTGGGGAGTGTTACTAAGATGACAATTAGTTAACATCTTTACATTGATTATAGTAATAGTTATTTCTTCCTCTATGTTAATATTGGGGAGTGTTACTAAGATAACAATTAGTTAACATCTTGATGTTAATCATGGTAGGATTCATATTCTTTAATATTCTTCCTTGAGTATTAATTAATTCTTATTCATATTCCATGTTAATATTTTAAACAATACTTAAAGTATCAACTAGTTTTGTTTCTCATATTAATTATTACTAGAATCAATCGGTTAATACGCTTGTTATTAATCTAGTTCCTTCAACGGTAGTAAACTTGGAATATTAATGCATGCATCTCATGGTTAATATGCCAAAGGGAATTAATTATATTGATTAAACCAATAAACCGTTTGTGTTGAGGTTATCAATCTCAATCGTTTTCATCTCAAGTTTATTGCTACTATCAAGTTAATATACGGCGCTTGTTCTATATTGACTCGATAGTAAGTTTTATTAATGAACGCATCTCGTTATTAATAACTACCCTCGATGAACTGGATATACTCCTCGATTGAGTATTCGAGAGGAAGATGGTTAAATATATAACCGGGATCGACGAACATTTCATTAAGTGGATAAAAGCAAAACCAAGCCACCACATCTATTAATCAAACTCATATAGGTTGTTCATCTTAGTGTTTTTAAATCAAACAAATCTAAACCCCCCTTGTTACTACTTATATAGAAGAAAAGTATTCCTTTCCCTGTGAATACGAACCTTAGTTCACTATACTACGTATTAGTGTTGTATTGTAAAATATTTTGAGTGCACCTCACGACAAAGTGCACGTCAAAATGCTATGAAACCATTCAAAGGATATTAAGTCAACCAGATCAAGTACCAGAATTCAGATTGAAGAAGGGGTTGCTATATTTTAAAGGGAGGTTAATGTTACCAAAAGGTTCTCCTAGGATCATTAAAATCCTTAAGGAGTATCATGATTCAGGCATAGGAGGTCATTCTGGAAATTTCAGAACAATGAAAAGAATATCAACCTTATTCTATTGGATCGGCATGAGGAAGGATATTCAAGTTTATGTTCAAAACTGTGAAGTATGCCAAAGGAACAAGTATCAAGCATTGAAACCAGCTAGTTTGCTACAGCCTTTATCCATTCCAGAAAGAATTTGGACCGATATAAGCATGGACTTTATTGGTGGATTGCCCAATCTAAAGGGAAAGATATCATTTGGTGGTTGTTGATAGGTTAACTAAATTTGCACATTTCATAGCTATTAAACATCCATATACTGCTAAGGAGGTAGCTGATTTGTTTATTAAAGAGGTGGTGAAGTTGCATGGATTTCCCAAATCCATTGTGAGTGAGAGAGAGTATATTTTTGAGCAAATTCTGGTCAGAATTATTCAGATTGGCTGGCACCCAACTGAATTATAGCACAGCTTACCATCCACAATCTGATGGCCAAACGGAGGTGGTGAATAGATGTCTGGTGACCTATTTGAGATGTTTGACTGGGAAGAAACCTAAGGAGTGGATACAATGGTTACCTTGGGCAGAGTACTGGTATAATACCAATTGCCACATATCCCTAAAACAGACTCCCTACAAGACACTTTATGGACAAGATCCCCCTGTTATCCTCAAAGGAGATGTATCTATCACTGTTATAGATGAAGTAGCAAGGATGACTGCTGAAAGGAATGGATTGCTGAAGGAGATCAAGGAAAATTTAGCTATTGCTCAAAATAAGATGAAGCAACAGGCTAATAAGCACTGGGGGGAATTGAATTTAGAAGTTGGGGAACAAGTATTCCTGAAGATTCAACCATATAAGATGCAGAGCTTGGCCAAAAGATTGAACCAGAAGCTAAGCCCCAGGTTCTATGGGTCTTTTGAGGTTTTGGAAAAGCTGAACGATGTTGCTTTTAAACTGAAGTTACCAGAACATTGTTTGATACACCCAGTATTCCATATTTCTCTACTCAAGAAAGCATTATCCCCAAACACTGTTTGTCAACCTTTACCTAAATGCTTGAATGAGAACTGGGAGTTGCATGTTATACCAGAGAAGGTGATGGATACAGGGAGAAATGTGGATGGAGTAATAGAGCTTCTAATACAGTGGAAGGATCTACCTGAATTTGAGAGATCTTGGGAAGATGCACAAGTTTTGAAGGAGAAATTTCCAGATTTCTATCTTGGGGACAAGATAGATTTTCAACCGGGGAGTATTGATAGAAGCCAAGCTATTTCGAACACTAGAGATAAATATTTAGGCCGTGTGTACTCTAGAAGAAAGAAATAAGCTACTCGTTATTAGTTATAGTTTGTTAATAACTAAATAACTAGTTTTTGTGTTCGAACTACTCTATAAATAGAAGGTTGGCTGGAGTGAGTAGATAGGTTGTTAGACTGTTGTAGTCTGGACTAGGAAGATTGAGATTCGTTGTCTCTCTCTTTCGGGGGCTTCGGCCATTATTACTGGTTTCATTCAATAAAGTTCTGGAGATTTCTTCTATAATTTTGTTCTATATTTTCTGTGAAATTGTTGTATTCTATCATGCTCTAGGCTTAAAAACTTTATTTGAGACACCTGAACGAGAAATAGGGAGGGCGAAAACTAAGATGGTATTTGAATCAATCTAGTGTCCTGCACCATAATTTGTTAATTTGACGCACATTCTGTCTAGCTAAGATTTCTCATCGATTGCTAAGTGTGCAAACTGATACATATGAGGTAGAAAATACAATAATAGACCAAAAGTAACAAGGAATGAATTGTATATAAATGGATAAGGTGAGGAACAAATAGTAATTACACAACACAGAAAACTAAATCTATCAACTTGACACAATCTGTGTCGAATTCATTAATACTTCATCCGTTCCTTAATTAAGTTTACAATTGGACTTTCATGATCTCCAATATTAGCGTTTGACCATTGATATATAAAAATATAATACTTATTTTGGTATTATAATTAGCATTTCAATCATATATATTAAAATGAAGCCTTCAAAATTATTTTGGTATTATAAAAATAATACACAATTTTATAATGATGAATCATCAAAGTTAACAAAGTTTGAATCAAAAAGTCAAACTGTGAACTTAATTATTGGATGGAGGAAGTATAATTAAGTGAACGGAACCACAAGATTATAGCTAATAGGGTCGTTGATTTTAGAATAATGGAGGATCTTGTACACTTAGATTTAATTATGGTGGGCTAGTTTTATATTGGAGACATTAAACTATAACTGGAAACTAATCAAACTATAAGTCAAGTGCTACTTATTTCAATTATATTATGGTTTGGCTATCAAAGCTCTCTTTATATTATATAGTACGTATATAACTCCTAAAGAGTAAAGAATATAGTTGTACACTTTTTTTCTCCAAACAGTATATACTACTCCCTCCGTCCCGAAAATAACTTTTCTACTTTTCTTTTTGGTTTGTCCCAAAATAACCGTCTTGTTTCCTCTTTTGGCAATAATGTGTGGCTCATATCAATTCACTTTTTTCTACTCAAATCTCAACCACAACTTTTACATTTTTAACAATTTTCTTAAAACTTGTGCAAAAGCAAACAAGACATTTATTTTGGGACGGAGGGAGTATATACCGGTACAATCAGGAAAAAGAAATCTAGATATGTAAGTGTCTGTATACATAACCTTTCTTTCAATACCAGTAACAATACTAATACAAGCAAATGTAAACAAACAATATTTTGTTTCTAAAGAATATCTAATATAGCACCTATTTAATTATTTGAGTGTGTGACATATACCATTCCAAACAAGAGCTCTATAAATACACAAACAACAATGTGAAAGGCACAAATGCACAGATTATAGTACAAGCATACTCAAAGTAAGTCCCAGATTGGCTCAGGATAGGTTGAACCGGGTGGGGTGGTTGAACCGGGTGGGGTGGTTGAACCGGGAACTGAACCGTGATCCAATGGAGCAGAATCAAATGTCTCCCATTGTGTAGTTATGACCACTGACCCTGGTGTTTTTGGAGTCTGTTCATTGCTGCTTTTATCAAGCATTGAGTTTTTCACCTTCAACACGTCCAGAGTTTCAACACATTCTTGCACTCTTTTTACCTATATTAAACCCACAACTGAATTATTCATACAAAAACTGTATAAATTTTTTAAAACATACAGAATTATGTTAGATAGAAAGGCTTCCTTTCCAACTTATTAGTGAGTTAGATAGGAATACAAACAATTTGAGGTTTCAAAATATAAGTGTTGTTTTTCTTCAAAATAGGAGTAATTATTGTCAGGTTTGAAAAATAATGTTTTTTCGTGGAATGTTAATTATGTCATTTGTATTGTGACTATTGCCATATACTCATATTAATGCTTGGTAATGACAAAATATGACAATATTGATGAGTGTAGTCTACTTCTATGTAAGGGGGAATAAAGTAATTGATATTACTTGTAGTTTTACTAATATTTTAATATAAGTCAATTTTTCTCAAAAAAGGGAGAATTCCCCAAATAGGATTAAATGAAACTTTAATTTCCAAAATAGGACCATAACATCAAAATTCCCTAAATAGGACTAGCTTTCCAATTCTACCCTTTCCTTGTTTTAATACAATACATATTTCATGAATAATTAAAATATAAAGTAATAAACATAACTTTATTTATCCCAAATATCTTTTGGGACTAAGGCTTGATGTAAGTTAAAACATAACTTCATTTATAATAATAATGAAAAAAACATGAAATAAAAATTATTTAAAATTAATAAAAAATAAAAAATTCAAAAAATAAAATTTATAATATTAAAAACTTAAAAAATAAAAATAAAATAAATAATGTAAAAAATACATAAAGGCCTATGCTACCGCCTCAACAACCTCCCGGCACCACCAGCTCTGATCACCCGGAAAAAATGCCAACATGTGTCAGAAATGTCATTTTGATGACAGTTTTTATACAAAATGACATTTTTTAGCCGATCAAGATAAAGTTGTTGGGAAGTAACCGAGACCGTGGGAAAGGCCTCCATATTTTTTTTATATTTTTTAAGGTGTTTTATCTATTTTTTATTTATTTTTAACGTTTTTAATTTTAAACTGAAATTTTATGGAGACGCTCTACACTTCATTAAGAATATGCTCAAAATATTTCATCAAAAAAATTCATCGATAACCGCCTCAAACGGCGATGGCCGTACAGAAGATCATGTCCCTCCAGCAGGACAGATCATTACTAAAGTTATTAGTTTATTACGGAGTAATACTTGCCATTTGAAGTCTTACTTATCATTCTTATGACCCGTTTGGTTCACGCTTTTGGTGTTGTCATAGATTCTTTCGGATTGAATTTGGCGTCAACCTCATTTGAGTAATTTATTCTCGAGACCTAGTTTTCAAATAATCGGACATTTGTGTACATATGACACTCATTAATTCAATGTTTTAAAGCTATCAAATCGAGTACCACATATGAATGTGCAAAAAATGTACTTGTACAAAACAAATGTCTCCATTGCCTCACTCTAAGATAAGTACTTTCCATTGAAGAATATAAAAATAAGAAGGAAAAACGTTTTCTTTTCTTTCTTTCAAAGGTTGAATCCCCAACCCCAAAGACCCCTCACGTCCCGATCCGACAAAACTTTTGGGAGGTTATAAATCACGATGACTCAGTCGGTCTAATGGTAGTAGACGTTGTACCCGTGCGCATCAGAGGTACAACCCAGCACGCAGGAACAATTTTCTTTTCTTTTCTTATCATCACATCTTGAGTTTGGATTAAGGTGAAATAAGAAAAGAAAATATCAAAAGTAAAATTTATTATAATATGAACTACTAATCAAGGAGGAAAAATGAAAGTAAATATTGTGTCCATTAATACCACTGATATACCTGGACTTTTCTCTGCAGTTTAACATCTCCGTCGCCATTAATACCATCCAGTTTGAGCAGTTGGTTCATCAACATCTCAATCAAGTTCACAACATTTCTTTCTGCAACCTTCCCTCCTTTCGAAATTACAGATTCAAGTGCAGATACCTATTCAATGCATTTCACAAAAATCAAAACCTTGTCACAGTAAAGGGACCTTCAAAAATTCAATCTTTTTTCTTGTAATAATTAGAGAAAAAGAAGACAAAAAGAATCCATTTAGAGATATAATAACAATAACAATTGATATGTGCCTACTCTTTAATACATAGCAAATGGAGTCTGAAAACGGGTTTTAGAACTCAAAACGATCATTTCAATGAGATGTAAAACGTTTGAAACGGAAGCACATAATAACCTGTCCTGCAAATCTATCAATCTCCAAGCTGATTTCTGATAGAGCCTTTGAAGCCTTCTCCATCTTAGCATTCTTTCTCATCTCAAGAATCCTCTTCTCCTGACTAATTGTGTCCTCAACCAAAACAACCTTAGACTTGTCTTTCACACCAGACATGTCAAGAAAGGCCTTCGAGTCCCTCTCCTTATCCTTAAACAACAACTTCTGGTCTTGGTGGTGCAGCCCTGTCCGCCCCGTCAACATCTTTTTCAACTCTCCTGCAAACAATTTCCTTTTTTCAATCTTAATCCTATCAAATGCTCAAACAGCTTCAGAATATGATCAAGAAATACTTATCACTTATGCTCCCTTTATATTTACACCCATTTTGTATAAAATATTAAATTCATATAAAAGATCATGACTAGTGAGGTTCACTATGATACTATCAAAGTGATTTTTTTAAGCAAAAGCGATTGCAAACACTCATTTGGTAATCTACATTTTCGGCTTGCGAGCCTTATTATCGAAATATGATTTCATATACTTTCTTCGTCCCAAAAAGATTGGCCGAATTGACTTTTCATGATCAATGATGGTCAAGTTTGACCAATGATGTTTTTTAATACAAAATTATTTAAAATATGAAAATTATATGAGCATATTCTTTATTAAAAAATCTTTCATAAAAGTATAAAATTTATAAATTACACACAAATTTAATACCTAAAATCATTGTCTAAACTTTGACATCATTGTCCAAAAAAAATCAAATTAGCCAATCTTTTTGGGACGGAAGGAGTAACTATGACTAGTGACTAGCGAAGCTCACTATGATATACATGTTACTATTGATTTTATGCTCTAAATTGTTTAATAATCAAAATAAGTATGACTGGAGTTACTTTTCTGACTAAATTGGTTGAAATTACCGTAGAGTATCATTTTAACTATTTTTCACATAATATTTTCTTTATTTTATTAACAAAATGTATTTAAATGCACCTTTTTCATATTCAATACATTGAATCAGAGGCTTCAACCAAAATTTCATCAATTTTAACAAAATCAACATATTCTCAATTTTAGTGTCATCAAATTCCCTCATATTTAGAGTCTATCGACATAAAGACATACGTTCATCATCATCATCATCATTACCCCAGTGCCGCAAAGGCACCCACCTACAGTGGGGTAAGGGGGGATCGGATGTACGCAGTCTTACCTTTGTACTAAAACACAAAGAGACTGTTTCCGGATGACCCATAGTGAAAATCACGTCGAAAATTGCATGGACTGACTGTTGCCTCATAACAAAGAAGCGCAGACAGTTTAGTGAGTCATTTTGCTTTACTCCATCATTTTCTCAAGCCAAACAATAGTGAATCTTTGGCTCCATTCCAAACATAAACACATAAGTTCTAGTAAAAAAATCTCTTTAGCTTAATAACGATCTGCAAACAACTAAAGTTACAACACGAACAATAATCACGTGTACAAGTTACAAAATTAAAATTAGATGAGCAGTTCTTATCAAACTAAAATATAAATATAAAACATAACATAATTGGAGTGTTTGGAAAATGACATACCAGCCTCTTCTTGTTTTTTTATTTGACTTTGATTGTTTGACATACTAGCTACTTTCAGAGTTTCAGTGTAAACGTCATTCTAATTTGGATTTTTATGCTAAACCAAAAGGCCATTTTGATTAGTTATTTCAGAACAGTTTTTATTTAATGTTTCAAAAGCCTGATTTACCCTCTAGTCTTTGCTTTTTCATTAATTAGTTTATAATTACAAATGCTAAAATATTAATCGATAAATAATAAAAATAATAAAACTAAAGTGATTGTAATAGTGTAGTAGTAAACATATCATAATGAATATTGTCTTTTATTTTATTGTAATAAATTAGTCAAATGAACTATTTTATAATGGTATTACAATTGAATGAATATGTATGTGTATATGAACAATAAAAATAGGGGTAGTTAAATAAAATAGTATTTAATGTAATTTTAAATTTATTTTTCTAAATTTTATAAAAGAAAATATAAAAAACTACGGAGTTTGGAGTTAAATATATAAACTTTTATATTTGAACACTTAGATGTTTCTAATTTGACTGAAATTTTCGAATCAAGTCTCTTTAGGTCTGCTCTAAACTAGTCTACTCCGCGTTTTACAACTGTCAAAGTCTCCTATTATCTGGTCAGACTGGTCTTGTTTGCGATTGAAACCACGCATATTAAACACATCCTTATTTGTCATTGTCTAATCAAAAGCTAATCATAAACAATTTTGCTAAACATCTTGCTTCCACTTTTTTTTTTTTGCTTCCATATGTTAATAAAATCGTTGGTCAAATCAGCTAACAGGATTTGCTACTCTAATTACGCTTAGGCAAACAAAGGTTGTTTAGGGACACCCCAAGATGCTAACTCTTAATATTTGACTTTTCGAGCCCAACTAAGATATTTCTAATTGAATTGATTTCAATACCGATCATATCAGACTTAAATTATAAACAGACCAAACCAAACCAGATTTAGAAGTTACAAAATACGCAAAGAAGATAAATCTACCAAGCCAAACTTGACTAGTTCAAACCAAACGAACTGGAGCACACTTGAACATATCATACTTGACCTGATCATAAAATTATAATCGAATAAAAAACATCCTTAATCTCTAGTGCCTCTGCCAAACACTTCTTTGTTTTTCAACTTTTGAACATATGTTGTTTGATTGTTTTTTAGTCTTTACTTAAACTTTGTACAATGTCCATTTTAAAAAATAATTAGTATGTTTTCATTTGGTCTTATACCAATCTCATATTAAATCATATTTAAACAGATCAAATCAAACTTAAACAATAGTAAAATACACATACACACACAAATCTTTATCAAACTAAATTTAAATACACCACATCATACCAAAACAATACAAACTAGAACTGAACAAAAAATCATCACAGGCAAAGCTACTGAAAACATTCTTAATCAAACTAAGGATGTTCACCGGTATTTACCCCATTGATTTTGTTGATTTGTCTACCGTTTTCAAAAAATTAAATGAAGAATGTTTTTCATTGGACTTAATTTTTTTAGTTTAGTGTGATCTATTTAAGTCTAGTCATATGTGGTCTGATCTGTTTATGTTGAGTCTGTTAGATATATATTGTGTGTGCATTTTAGTATTGTCCAAGTATTAATCATTTATTCAACTTGGCCTAATTTGTTTATGTCTTGGGCAATATTGATATTTTTAGATCTAGTCTCAAAGTGAAATGAAGCTAATAAAAAATATTCTAACAACTCTTGTATAAACTTTTGACATCACCTTTTTTTCTTTTTATGTTCTTTTTAAGATAATAACTAGCTAGTAGCTAGTGACTAAGCAAAAAACTATTCATTAAACCAGGGGCGCGCGGAGCCGGGGGAGGGCCAATCCTAGCCCTGGTCCAACCTAAATTTAAAAAATGTTCATATTTTTAGTGTAAAAAATTCCGTGTAAATATTTTTCCAAATATATTCTTTGTACCGGTCCAGTGCTCTGGCTCCGCCCCTGCATGAAACACTTAATATAGCCTATTTTTTTCATTTATCCCAGTGCCGCAAAGGCTCCCACCTACGGTGGGGTAAGGGGGAGTCGGATGTACGTAGTCTTACACTCTTACCCCTGTACTAAAGCACAGAGAGACTGTTTCCAGATGACCCACAGTGAAAATCGCGTCCAAAATTGCATGGAGTGACTGTTGCTCCGTAACAAAGAAGCGCGGACAGTTTAGTGAGTCATTTTGCTTTATTCCATCATAATTTAAGCATTTTGTTTTAGAAACGAAATGATGAGAAACAACAAACAAAAATCCAATTAGTCATGCGTGCTTAATTCTTAAATTTAAGATGTTAAAGTCGGTAAAAATGATTAGAATGAAAAAAGTCATTCACATGGACGAAAAACAAAGAAACTATAGCAGACATCTAAACAAAAGGATACAATTTTTGTAGAAACATATATATGTCTCTAAATAAATATTCAACTTTCTTTTCGGAGTCACTCCAAAAAAAATCGTTTTTATTTATTTAGTAAACAGAACCGTGCAAAAGAGTCAAAAAGTGTCACTTTTTTCAATTATGCGTACAATAAAGTGAGAGCAATAATAATAATAAGAAAAAAAATATGTGAAATGGGCAAGTACCGAAAGTGGCCTGAGAGCTGATATTGATTTCGTGGTAGACCGACCCATACTTGACCCGGACCCGGACTGTGGGTGGAGATGGGTGGATATCAGAATCTGGGTTCCGTTTCTGAACCAGCATTCCACAGGGCCTCATCTCCCACTCCTTTTCCCGATTTCCGGCAGCTCCGACTGCGGAACTACGGTTCTCTGACGGCGGCGGAGGCGCGGCGGCTCCTTTACTCATTCTCATCATCTTGATTCGATTTAACGGTGAACACAGTTAAATGCTGATATCAGAGCATTGACTTGTCGCCTGAACGATCTGTTTACCGTTGACGGAGATATCTCATATAACGGCGCCTTCACGGCGTTAGAGAAAAGTTATACGGACTATCTTTTTCCACGTTTCTTCGCACAATAGTAACGGTAGTCGTATGTCAACAAATAACCGAAAATCCAAAAAGTAACGGACTCTTGACTCGCCGGCGGGGATGTGTCGGTGGTCAAAAGCGCCGGCGAAATGATATAGAGAACAGAGTTTTAGATCTTACTGGGGACCAGAGAATGCAGGCATCTTTGTCGCAGAAGAACTGATTCTTTTGCCGGACGGAAATTTTCCGGCGAATTCGCTGTTAGTAATAATCAATAAGGAAAGAATGAGTAGAAGAAATTCTTCCTTTCCTTTTAAAACAAAGAAAAAAGTCTATAATGGGTTTGGTTGGAGAGCTGTCCAAGGAAAGGAAGATTGGAAAAGAATATACACCTGAGGAAATTTTTCCATCTTTTGATAATTTACTATGGTAATTGGACATGTATTGTTACATTCCGATATCCTATGTTTTTAGAAAATGTTGGATGGTAAGACAATTTAACACAACAGGTTTAATATATACTTTTATTATTCTGTATCTTTTTAGTAACGATTAGTTTTTAGTGATTGAAAAAAAATTTAAGAAAAAAGTGATAGTTATTTGATACAAATGTTGACTATTTAATTTAATTCTGTTAGATATACAAATTAATCTGACTAATTAATGTTAAACTTACAGACTTTTATCAGATGCTACTCACTGTACGCATGTAGTTTATCGAAAAAGGTTTTTTATGTTGAGAAAACCTCTAAAAATTTGTCGTGCCTAATAAGAAGTATACAATTAGAATGTTTTACATACTTTTTAAATAGTACAAAAGCTATAAGATATGAGCTGATGTCTATCGAATATGGAGTATGTACTAAATGTATTGTAGCTTCTCAAAACAGATTTTTATGGAAAAATTCCCGAATAAGAGTAAAAAAGTTTGGAAATTCTAAAATACTACTGTCATGTTTTTGTTCCCAAAATAGGAGTAATTACTATCAAGTTTGAAAAATATTGCCATATTTAAATTCTGGTACTGCCAAAACATGACAATAATTAGTCTTATTTTGGGAATAAAAATATGATAGTCCTATTTTAGAATATACAAACGGTTTTAGTCCTATTTTGGGTAATTTCTCATATTTTATTTTATTTATAGCTTTTAAAACATTTTGTGACGAACATATAACCAAAAAAAATTAGAGACTTTTTAATGTTATAAAAAACAGATGGTATAAATTTGTGTCCGTCAAGCTTTGAGTGAAAACTTACCTAACCATGCATTGATGTATACAATAAATATACACACAAATACAGTTAGCTAGACGTATTCGTGACTCTGAACCAGATCGAAAAGAATTGATTATTTGTGTTTCTAATTTTCAAAAACTGAATTGGAATTGGAATTGTACAACACTTATCTTGTTTGGTTCCAAAATCAGCATTTTATATAGATCCGTTTTCGGTCTTTTGATCTTAATTGTTAAAAAAAAAAATAGTTAATGTTGTTTTCAAAATGAAATATTCAAATAGTACGTAGTACATGCAAGTGATTTACTGCCGCTTTGCCGACTGAGTCACGTGATTTACTCCTCCACCATCCTGTCAGGTCGAGATGGGAGGCTCTTGGGGTTGGGGATTCAACCTTTTGGACGTAGTACATGCAAGTGATGCAACTTCGAAATTCAAACACTATTAATTAAGTCAAGTGCAACTTCGAAAAGTTAAATTCTCAGGTAAAATAATAAAACAAATTATTCAATAAAAATTATTACCACAACCATTATATTAAAAAGGGATGTGATTTGTACTGTTTTCAGATAGGGGCACGTGTTTCAATTTAGTTGGGGCATGACATCTAACGTCATTAGAAAAATTAACTCATTTTCAAAAAAAGAAAATTGAAACAAAAGAACTATTAAGTGCACCTCGTCAAGAAGACCTCCAGACCATTTTTCTATTTTTGTTTCCAGCCACCCTATCTCCAGAAAGTCCACCGAAAAAGTGATATTAGTGAATTCGTTTTTAGAAAATAATCCAAATGAAGCCGAAAAATTCAAAGAGAACGATAGTTTATTGGTCGGTGTCCTTGACGAGGCGCACCTCCCAATATTTTCTTTTAATTTTCCGAAAACTTTTGAAAATGAGAATGAATTTTTCTAATGTCGTTGGACACCATGCCCCAGCTGTGATAACGGAATTGAAACACGTCTCACTTTGTTAAAAAATGAAACATGTGTCCCTATCTGAAAACGGCCCAAACCACATACTCCCTCCGGTTCTTAATTAACTTGACACTTTGACTTCACACATATTAAGAAAGTTTACTGTAGAATACACTCATGTGACACTGTTTAGCACTGTTTTACACTGTTTTGGCACTGTTTTGCACTCTTTTGGTGTAGATTTATTTGCCAAGTAAGGATGTGTAAACTTGGTTGGAACATCCAAAATGTAAAGTGTAAACTTAAATAAAAAACAAATGGAGTATTTCTGTTCTCTACTTTTCCCTATTAAAAATTTGTGATGAACCGCAACCATAACAATATTAGCCAATTTAGCCAATAAAAAATCTTTGTTTCGATTGAATAGAAAACAAACAGGTATATATGTAGAAGGGATAAGGTTCAAATTAGACATTATGGTTTCATGAGAATCTCGTATTGGAGACTAAGGTTTTAAATAGACCAAATTGGACACTATGGTTAAACATGTACTCCCTCCGTCCCTTATAACTTTGCCAACTTTCCTTTTTTGGTTGTCCCAAAAACTTTGTCACTTTCCCTTTTAATCAATCAATTTGTGGCTCATGTTATTTCTCTCTCCTCTGCACAAATTTCTACCACACGGTTTTTACTTTATTATTCTACGTGCTGGTCAAACATGGCAAACCTTTAAGGGACAGAGGGAGTATCTCATATTGGACACTGAAATTTCATAATTCATAGTTTTTGGACACTCACTTATGATTCTCTTCTTCCTTTAATAAAAATTGTTAGTCTTACATTTCCTTTCCTTTTTGGTGAAAGTGGACCAATTTAATTACGTGTATAATTTTGGAATATTTAATTTGAAGTTTTAGAATATATAATTTGATTTTAATTAATAATTTCTTATATTTAACAATTTAAAAATATTTAGGACTTTTCATTCATGTGATTTTTATGAAACGTTAAGAAATATTGATTTGTTAAATTGATTTAAAAATATTAAAGAATTCAATTACATTATAATAGATTTTCTTAATTGGAGCATCTAATTATATATTCTAAATCTAAATTTACAAATTAAGTTATTTTTATTTTTTAGGTACATAAAACCAAGAGAAAAAGGAATACTTATATCTTTCAAGGTGAAAATCTTCGATGGGTGTCTGAAAATGATCAAAAAACGTAAAGTTTGATCAACTTGAAACTTTAGTGTCCGATATGAGATACAAAAATAACCATAGTGTCCAATTTGGTCCATTTGAAACCTTAATGTCAAATATGAAATTCTCATACAACCATAGTGTCCAATTTGACCATACTCCGTACGTAGAAACTACTAGGTGTGAGCATCGGGCGGGTTCGGGTCAGGCGGGTGGGTGAACCCAATACCCTTTCAGGTTTCGGATGTGTAATATGGATATCCTACCCTATGTTTTTTTACTTAGATATTTTCGGGTTTTATTGTATTTCGGGTAGGGCGGGTTCGGATCGGGTATCGGGTTTAGTCGGTTTCAAGTTTCAACTAAAATAATTTGAAATTGCAAAATAATTTGTAATTTCAACACCAGTAAATCTAAAATATTACAATTGCAAAACATAATTTGATTCCCATACGGCCATAAATAATGTGAATATTACAGAGTAAAGAGTAGGGGGGATCAAAATTGTAACAAAGAGTTTTAGCATATTACAAAATACATATTACTGAATTACACAGTTTATTAATCATTAACATACAAAGTTCCAACTAGTCAAGTACACAAAAATGCAAAAATGCTTGAAGACTTTGAAGTTCCACAACTATCTTCCACAGTTTGAAGTTTCCACCTGCATAAGAAAGTTAATGAACACATGGAAAGCAATAGACATGTAGTAGAGTAGTACAATATGTCAATAACAACTTAACAAGGATAAGTTAATGAAACAAATCAGAGAAATCATTGATTCACTGACTCAGAATGCGTGTTATCCTTCACAAGGAATATAGGGGCAACTGCTACAATTTCAGTTAAAACTTACATGTTATGAACTGAAAGAGCTATACCAACCGTAAACCATACATTCAGTAATGTGTGGAAGCTTCATCATAGCCAATGAAAATTAATAGAAATGATAGAGTAAAGGATTAATGGGATTATGAGATACTTACACAAAACCTGCAAATCAGAGCAAGGTACAAGGGTCCAGGGATAGTTGGCACTTGGCAACATGTGCATGCTTTCCAGAATGACAGAATCATGCTCATTCAAATGTAACAAGCGCATAATAGTGTAATACATTATACTCATATTGGCAGCAGGTCCAACACCAAATCATATAGCAATGTACTCATGTTTCATACACATTCAAATGGAAAAACAAGCATATAATGGCACAAATCAGACATTTCATAGAGCTCGGAATGCTTATTATCATTCACAAGGGAAATAAGGGGCATCTGTTATAGCCTACCATTTCAGTTACAACTTACAAGTTACCATTCATGAACTAAAAGAGCAATATCAACCCTAAACCCTATATGCAGTACCAGTAATGAGTGGAAGCTTCATCATAGCCAATGCCAAATCATAGAGTCATGTATTCATGTTCATACACATTCAAATGAAAAAACAAGCACATAATGAAACAAACCAGGCATTTCATAGAGCTCGGAATGCTTTTTATCATTCACAAGGGAAATAGGGGGCATCTGCTACAATTTCAGTTGCAACTTACCATTTTATGAACTGAAAGAGCAATACCAACCCTAAACCCTATATGCAGTAATGAGTGGAAGCTTCATCATAGCTAATGCCAAATCATAGAGTCATGTATTCATGTTCATACACATTCAAATGGAAAACCAAGCACATAATGGCACAAATGCACAATATAAATATAGAAATTGTACACTTAATGGCACAATACAGGATCCAGTAGGAGCAGCATCTCCACCACCAACATTTCCATCCATTATTTCTATAACAGACAAACAGAATTGTTAGAATTTTGAAATTTAAACAATAAGCTTCAGATGGTTAGCATTTCACCTAGAGCTCTCCTAATAGCTTGTTGATCAAA